CAAGTGAATACGAAAGAATAAACAAAGAAATTCATCGAGGCATGCTAATAAGCGTCTAAATCTCTAAGGATGCAAAAGCATAAATTACGACATGCCAAAAAGATCAGGTTCCAAATTGTGACAAGAGTTAATTAGCTAACAACCCTCAAATGTTCATTAGATAGCTACTACAAATATGTGTACGAACTTCAAGCAATGATCCTTTACTTATTTGACAGGGACCGCGGAGACGGGGGGGCTGGGGGGGCTTTAGCCCCCCCACTTTTTTTGACAGCCAAAATTATTAAAATAGAAATCTAAATGAAACTTTCTAAATTTTAATTAAACCTTTTCTAGGCATTTTTAACTTTCGCATCTAATTAAAATGAATAAAGGCTAAGCACCCCATTATGTGTACCTTACATGAAGTTCCCTTCAACACAGCCACGTGCTCCGAAACGAAATTATTATTTATATTCATATGGTTTTTGCAAAGTTTCCGCAATGGAGTTGAAACTGCTTTTATTTTTACTTTATTTTTACTATTTTTACTTAAGTTTGTAAAAGGTCTAAATTTTGTTACTTTTTATGACGATGGTCTTGGAGATTTTTTGCTAAAGTTCCTCCAAAAATGCAGGAAATAGCGTTTAAGGTAATAGAAAATTAAACATTTTCCTTGGGGGTTTTATTGATGATTTAGCCCCCCCACTCTCTAATACGCTCCGCGGGCCCTGTTTGAGCTGTTGGAATATTGCAATATACGGTACGTTGCGAGCGACATTTGATGTATGCGTTCGCGTATAATTAACCCAAGAAAATTCAAAATGGCCGACATATATATATATATATATATTCGAAGGTCAAACTTTTCTGGATCCAGTATATATATATATATATATATATATATATATATATATATATATATATATATATATATATATATATATATATATATATATATATATATATAGAAAAGACTTGTATCTTGTTATCAGCAACATTTCATATATATATATATATATACAATAATAAATCGTTGTCCGTTGTACAAAAAGAGTGCTCAATAACAAATTTAATTGATAGAGCAAAATATACTAATTATAATCTTAAAATTTTATTAATCGCTACACAGTGTTTCACGCTTTCAAAGCGATCTTCAGGCGATACTCTCAGGTATATACTCAGGTATCGCCTGAAGATCGCTTTGAAAGCGTGAAACACTGTGTAGCAATTAATAAAATTTTAAGATTATAATTAGTATATATATATATATATATATTTTAACAACCACAAAAGTAGCATGAAACGTTTTAACAACCACAAAAGTAGCATGAATAGATATGGGAGAGGTGAAAGGGGTATGGCAGGCGAGCATTTGTATGCTCATTTTTTTTATCAAGGTCATAATGGTATGCAAGATGTGAAAGTTAAAATTATTGATAAAACTAATGTTGCATGTCCCACACAAAGAGAAGGTTTTTGGGCATATAAACTGAATTCGTTTGAACCGCATGGGTTGAATTTAAAAGACTTTGTTTGAACAATAGAGTTAATCAGCAGAATTATTATAATTAGGGTATGGACAGTTTAAATTGTTGAAATCAAGTGTACACATGTAATCTGAAGAAGGGGCTTGCCCCGAAACGTAATAAAAAGTTGTTATACGAGCTCTGATGTATCATTGATTGATTTATATATATATATATATATATATATATATATATATATATATATATATACATAATTTAGTGTGTTATGTATGAAGATGTAATGTAATGTAATGTAATGATTTATTTAGAGTCGTATACACAGGATGCGGTTACCCAATCATCCGAGCCGGAGGCTCATGTAAATAAAAGTGCACGACATATACTATAATACTATAAATACATATGTACATTATAAATATTAAGTTGTGAAAAGGTAAACGAGACTAATAAGGTACAAATCTAAGAAATTATATACAAGATTGGCACTGACATCCTATAAATTCGCAATGTTTTAGATGTGACTTAAATTCTGCTAATGTCGATGCAGATTTTGCAGGGAGCGGTAAATTGTTCCATACGTGCCCACAATATAGCTATAGGAATTATGCAAGTAACGGCTATTGTTTCTATCCTGTTCAACATTAAGACCATTATGTCTCAGGTTATAGGTAGATTTACGTCTTTTAAAAAAGTCAGATATATATACATGCAGGACCTTAATTTCTAAAACTCTTGAAGAATAAAATTAAAGATTGTTCAAGTCTCCTACGTTGGAGTGATCGCATTGATGCTAGTTCTAAAAGTTCGTCATAGGTGATATTGTTACCCAAGTTCATTACAGTTCTTAGACCGTAGCAATTGGCTTTCTCAAGTTTCTTGCACAATGTTTTGTTCACTCCAATAAGTAGTTGAGAACAGTATTCCATATTAGGTAAACATACGCTTTGTACAAACTTGTTATAATATTTATCGGAACCATTCTCTTAAGGCGTCGTAGAGCAGCAATCATTCCATAGGATTTCTTTAATATCTCGTCAATATGCTGCTTGAAATCTAAATTTCTGTCCAGTGTCACTCCAAGTGTTCTCAAAGATTCGTGAATTTCTAATGGCTGGTTGTCAATTTTAAGGTTGTACGAATAGTCAGATTTCCCTAAGATCATTGCTTTTGTTTTGCCATTGTTGATTTGTAAGAAGTTTTCTTTGAACCAATACGATAATTTCTGTAGATCACGGTTAAGCGAGTACTCTAGTATGGCAGGACATGTATCAGATGAGTACTGGGTGGTGTCATCTGCATAAAGACGGAGTGATGTGTTGTCGACATACCAGTTAAGATCATTGATGAAAACATTAAATAGTAAGGGTCCCAATAAGCTTCCTTGAGGGACTCCACATTTTAAGGTCAGCCAATCTGAGAAGACTCCATTACATTTCACCCTCTGGCTTCGTTTAAATAAATAAGATTTCATTAACATCAACGCATTGTCCGGCAGACCGTAAGCCTTTAGCTTTGCAATCAACAAATTGTGGCATATGGAGTCAAATGCTTTCGACAAATCGATTGCTACAACTCCCACATCCTTCTTTTGATCAAGAGCTTTTCTAAAGTCGCCTGTCAGCTTAATAAGTGCCGTTGCACACGAATGACCACGAAGAAAACCCGACATGTTATTTGAAAAGATTGGAGAGAAATGTTTGTATAACTGATCGGATTTAATTTTCTCAAAAAGCTTTGGAATGCATGATAAGATGGTGATCGGTCTATAATTTGTTTTAATGACGGCGTCATCTTTTTTGTGAACAGGGGTGACATCTCCTTGTTTCCATGCAGTCGGCCAGGTACTTTTGTCAATACAATAATTAAATAAATTAGTGAGTGGCAAAGCAATTGCAGGAGCTGAGGCTTTAAGTAACTTTGGTTGATAACCGTCAGGCCCACTAGCTTTCTTTTCATTTAAGTTTAACAAAAGGTTGCTAACGAGCTCCATGTTTATTTGCTGGAATGAGAAATACAAATCATGACATTGTTCCTTGATTGCCCGTACACTAATATGATTCTCAAAATCTTGTTCAGTCAAGTTTAAGATTGTTTCTTCAACAGACGGGGTCGTAAAATAGTTATTGAATACTGAGCTAGGATCTGTAATCATTAACCCATTCTCAATAAGTTGTATTGTCGTTCCGTCATTATTGTCCATGTCCTATGCATAGCGTCCTATTCTAAAGTACGGTCACGGGTAAAGAAATTTAGTTTATAACTCTTTGTACATATTATATGAAATTGTTGGCCACTTACCTGTCATTGGCATTGACATTTGAAACTTCAAACATCGTCATGTTGTTTTATGTAAGTATCTATGTACACTAAAACTGCAGGCATTAACGTTCAATTAATTCAACATCATTAGTCATTACTAGTAGTATATATACGGTATATACAGATTTACTATATTTATATGAAAACGTTTCTTATATTCAATAACTCTGTTATAGTAATTAAGAAAGATTATAGCTTTCATGACTGTTTTAATTTGAAAAGGTATAGATAAAATATTTTCGTCTCTAACACATTTGACCTAAAAATATGATACAAAGAAAACTTTAAAGTTGCTCCACGTGTATGCTCAATTATCATGATGCACTGTAAGAATTATTTTTGCGTGATAATATTATATTATCACGCAAAAATAATTCTTACAGTGCATGATGATAATTGAGTATACACGTGCATGGAGCAACTTTAAAGTTTTCTTTGTATCATATTTTTAGGTCAAATGTGTTAGAGACGTATCAATTATCTTCATATAGAAAGAGAAAATTAATCAATTATCTTGTAAAGCAAAAAAAAACATATAAAAAGGGCATAGTGTAAATATCGAATAATTATAATCCGGAAGGGTGCAGCCACTTCTGCAGAATATGAATGAATAATGAGATTAATAGAAATATGATAGACGAGGAGACGTTATGGAATGTAACTTACTTGCCAAAATTTTAACTTGATTCGATATTTCAAGATGCATATTTTGTCGGCTAATTAAGTTGCTTTCCCACTCCTACAGTAAAGTGAACAAAATAGTGCGCTTAAACTGTCTCTTATGGTATGTTGGTTGTATGATTTTAAAAACAATGCTAAAATAAATTAAAACTATAGTTTTTGGATAAAGTGAGACAACGAACGTAGAGCCAGAGATAAAATTTATGTACAAGTCTTGTACATAAATTTCACTTCTGGCTCTACGTGCATCCATCACTCAGAATGCATGAATCACTTATGTATCACGACAGTGTATGTTAACCAATATACCTCGCAATATGATATTAACTGTCGGCATTACAACACTCGAACATCGTGTCAAAGGTCGGAACTGAAGAATTCTCAAAACTTGATATTTCTTCTTTATATTTTAAAAGTGTTTCCTTTAAACCCACGAACACGGCCGACACTATAGGCAGCGCTTATAAAACCTCGGGTCGTGTTTCCATATTTCGTATTTCCACAGCATGACGTCACAACGTTGAATATGACTTTTCCATATCAACATTATGATGTCATAACGTTGAATATGATTTTTTCCATATAAACAGTATGACGTCACTTCGTTGAATATTATGTCAAAACTTCATATTTGCTCAACTATTGAGTTGATGTGGCAGTTCAAATAAATAATAATTATAATATGTAGTTATTATCATTGTTATTATGGCGTCATCTTCTTACCGTTGATTTTCCCGCCTTTGCGGTCATTTAATAAACTCAAGATTTTGTTTCGGGTGTTGCCAGATAAGGAAGTTGTTATGAAAGAGAACACTTCAGTTACTGTAAATCTCTTTTACGATATCATGTCTAGTTCCTTGTTCGTGCTTTGTCGTAGCTTCTCGCAACTGACGATATCATACATGATGCGGAAGCTTGAATTGTTTGAGATATTCTTATGTACTTTCTTTTTTTCATTTTTCCTACGCGTGGGTATACATGTAGTTTAATTTCACCACTGTGATTCCGGTCACTTATGTCTCATACAGCGAGATACCGCTGATGTATATGCAGTATATTGAATAAGTCACGGTTATGACAGGATGGAATTGCGTTATATTCCAAGCGAAAGAAAACCAGTTTAAAACTAAATGTAGTTCCGAGGTCAGGATAACGTCGATAACAGTTTAGTTGGTTTCTACAATGGCAATGCTTTCCTTTTCTATTGACTTTTACAAAAGGCATCCTACTGGCACTATATATGTGAGGTGTCTTGGTATGTCTCTCCAAGGCATATACTGGGGGGGGGGGGGCATTTGGCCCCGCAGGCCCCACTATAGTTAATGGCTCAGATACTACCTTACCCTGAGTGACCAAAATCGTACTCTGGGGAACCCACACTGTGTCTAATCTTGCATGCATGGTTTTGGCCAGGGCGCTTATATAAGCGCCCTGGTATTGGCCGCCAACAGTAAAACGTTTAAAATATGCACTGTGTCTCTCCTCCGCAGAGGTTTTTAAAATAAATTGAATGAGCCATTGTGCAGCTAGATGGTCACCATTGACCCGGAACAATCCAAATGTTCGTGGGGGTTGATTTGGCCATGTCCATGTCCCGATGACTGTGATAATAAACTGTTGGTTGTGCAAGTGCAGGTGCGTGTTGAGCAACCATTAAAGTAAGTTAACCGCGCTCTGAAATTAACAAAGAATATCGGATGCGATTTATTTATAAATTTATATTGATTTATAAAAACTTTGCCGTTTACAAAATTTACACTAGTACAGAACGGTACAGGTTTTCTGTCTTTGTATGATATTTTTAGACTAACTTTGCTGGAAACATATCGTCAAAATTGCTTGAAATTTATCAATTATCTCTTAAAAGCGGAAAACTATGCGGAAAATGAAAGTTTGTAAATGATATCTAGTGTTGAACAATTATAATCAGCCGGAAGGGTGCAGCCACCCACGCCGATCAGAGTCAATAAAGATTTCAACATGTGGAATAACAGATTAAATAGAGGTGACTTGGTCATTAAATCACGAGGAGACGTTATGGAATGTAGCTGGCTTGCCAAAATTTTTAATTCTCAATAAACATTTAATTAATGAAAAAATCTGTAACAGTAATTTTTCCATAGAGTAGTTTCATAACAATACTCAACAGTGAACAGAATTCAACAATAACATGCATATTCCAGTTCAGTGCTATTCATATTCATTTAAGAGAATAAGAAGGAATTTCAAAACAGATCATAGCCATAGGACATAGATCATCATTAGTTTCTTAAAAAGTATTTGGATTATATAATTTAGACAGTAATACCAAAATATTGAAAAACTTTGAAATGATTCCATTCAGTTACTACGAATATTATGAATGGCCGGGAGCTTATAAAGTCAGTTTATACGTGGAAATATAGCGTGATCTATCTGTCAGTATACTGAAGATGGGATATACCATTGACATTATTGCATTAACATTCTTTGGCTATGCAGCAAATAATTATTTATAGGATTAAAACATTTTAACATCCTGTCAAAGAAAGAATTCTCGCAATTCCAGAACTAGTTTTAGGCCCTGTTCACAACGGGACGAATTTGGAACCAAATTTGCATGATGTGCCCTTTGTGATCACACGGGACGCATGGAGGAAAATAGACCGTTTGAGGACTGCTAACCAGACGAATTTTCGTTTCTGTTGAGAATCCTCCGCACAAATTCAGTCAAATGTAAAGAATTTTTCGCCACTTGGTTCAGTCAACAAACTGGGACTGTATTTCGTTTTTAAATATTCGTTTATTCAGTAACCACACATTTTTTTTACAATCATCTTAAACAAACTATCGACACTCAAATACAAGTCTTATAAGCACTCTGAATCATTCTATAGGCTAGCTACAGTAGTTTCGTCCTATCTTGTAAATGACCTCAGTAAGATAAGATATATAGATAAGATATATCCTATATAGTATATCAATGAGAGCAGGATCTATGGTGATTATGAAAATTATTAGTATATTATTATATCCTATAAATATTTACGCACCATTCATCAATCTAATATAATCACAGCATATTCATAGTTTTTTTGAATGACAGTAATGGTTTTCACAAACTTACGTCAAACAAACATTATTCGAAACATTACTACGCTTCCCTTGATTCTTTCACATGATTTTAACTTCTTAAAATTTATGATTATTTGGGTGCATATAAATATGATCTGTAGCACTTTGTCCGTGCTTTCCCTATGTTTTCGGAACTGGCAATATTTCATACGTGATGTACAATACTTGACCCATTTTACCCTCACTCATACACGTGGGTGAGACACTGCATGTCACTGCGTACTATGATTTCCTGTTTGTCTTCCCAGTGAGCTGATATTGAATGAGTCACGGTTAATTCGGCGAAAATGCGTTTTAAAAGATCGTACCACTTAAAACTGAACATAAAGGATATCATCGCAACATTTTAATCAGTGGCATGCTGGTTTCAATGACATTAATGTACATGTCATAGAATGTATATAGCCACGCGGCGAGGCGTCTCGATATAGCGGAATATCCTCCCGCAACAATTCAAATGTATTCTGCGGTTCAATCTAATCATGCATGCCCACTACCCATATATAATAATATAGTGAAATGATCGACTGATCTTTATAGTGAGGGTATATCTTTTTTCATACGACTGATACTTTATGCTTACTTGTGATAACGTTTTATTTCCTTTTCCAATTTAGTTATAGAAATATAGGTTGTTAACTATCTACATGCTGCATGCATGAGTTCAGTCTAGATGCATGCTGTCTGCTCGATTTTGAAACGAAAAAAGTCGGCTAATACAGCGAAAGTAAATTAAAGAATCCGGCATAAACGAGTGTAGTGACGACTCAGAACTAATACTAATACTAATACTAATGAAGCTTGTTGTCCATGCAGTATTTGCCTTACATTCATCAGTTGCATCTCATCATTTATATATAAATGTTCAAATTAACGTTACCATTGACACTGAAAATAAAACACTCAGCCAAAGAGGACTTTCGCAGTGGATATACAATTACAATCAGTGGAACAGCCTTCACTTTCTGAACGAAAGCGGAGTTAAGTCGAGGTCAGTCAAGTGCACGAGCCACTATCCTTGTTGATTCCGTCAAGACGGTCAAGTGCCTCAAGTTCATATTTCCTTGATAAACCAATTGCGATTGTAGGACTTGCCAACTGAAAGTGAAACATTTATAAATCACGCATGTATATTATATGGTCCAATTTAAAGTCTGAAAATCACAATAAAAGCGAAAGAGTATAACTCTCTGATTGATGACTGCACACGCACATGGCATGTCTGAAAAGAAATAATTATACACCAAATTCAATGGCCATGCAGGTGATCTCGTGTTCGTATTTTAGCCAATCAGCGTTCAGAAAGGGTTGTCCGAATAGAAATCCATTTTGATGTATTCAGTCAATTATATCTTTCGTTATTCTTTATGAAACTAGTTGAAATTTTGTAATTATGTTTTGTTATGAGAACTATAGTTCTGACAAAAATATGGAATCGAAATAAAGTATATTACAGGAGATATTCAGTTGTTTTAATCACAAAATGGATTTCTATTTGGCAGCTAGTGCCAGTACTTTTCCGCGTATCAAGATCATCTGGGATATAATACTGAAAAATTCATATAATACTGCGAGATATTCTGGGAGGAAAACAAAAGGCAAAGCACGTTAAAAAACGATAATGGGAACTATCTTTTTGGATCAATTGTAAAATACTAAAATAACACTGAAATTTATGCTGATAGTGATAGATTACACGACTCTCCTATAGGCTATAATTATATGAAAACTAATAATTGCTTGTTTTTTTATATTTATACATGTTATTTAAAACAGTTTTAGTCTATTTCTAATTCTATGTCATTTTAAAGAAATTTCAATGACTTTACAGTTTACGACTAAAACGTTTATTTTGATTACCCAGCTTGTCTGAAATAAATTCGGAAGACTATTCAATATATACCATTAATATGCGAAACAGTTTTGAAGTGACCAACAATATTCGCTCAAGTTGAAGTGTTTTAGTCTGAAGAATTTTGTCTTCGCCGTATGATCATAAACTGAATCTTTGACTAATTTGTCAATGCCTAATCCGGCGCTAAAAGTCATTATGAGAAGTGTCATCAGTTTTGCACCGACAAAATGTCTCTTCATGACAAAATTGCGATGTAAAGTAAAACCAAACACAATGAAAGGCGTATGTCGTGATGTTTCCCAGTTATCTGGACGACTTGTGTCATGAAGACAAAAACTGAACCTGTTTCTTTTGGAACACCAAATATAAAAAAGATATTAAACGAAATCTTGATTTAAAAATCAGCACCTTGCTTGTATTTTCTACTAAAATTATCAATATTGGGGGGTGGGATCGTATAGTTTATGCCAATGTACCCTGCTGGCAGTGGAACCACTGCCAGCAAGGTAATGCATGCCAATGGGGTCGTATACTAAAATGCTCATTTTACTATTTATTTTAAATAAATGGGGGTCGTTAACTACAATTGACCAGTCTTTTTTTCTTGTCTGTAATATATTGAGCTTTCACTCGTCTACGTAAACTCAGCGCTGGTATTTGATTATGAAGTTCAGGGACAGGGTGGTTCATTCGGATATTTGTATTTTAAGAATTTAAAAAAATAAAACATAGTAAAACTGAGAACCCAAGATACGGTCTAACACAAGAGGTAATTTTAATGGTTAATTCTTTAATCCTGACCAATTAGTATTAAGGAAGGTTATCGAAGGAAAATCTACGAACAGGTGCACATTATCTCTATTACCATCGAATCATAATCGTTCTGGCGTCGGCTGCCGTGTTGTGTCTAAAAATAGAGCCGAAACATTCCGATATCCCGTCGTCGGAAAACTCCGCACCAATCAGAGCCGGCAGTTTACCGAATGGCAAACAATGTAATTGACTTTGACATAGAGGTCACTGGGTGGAGAAGACATGTTGACAGGGATTAAAAAATGTAAATGTTGCTCGCTTAAAACTGGATAGATAGACCTTGGTATCATGTGTCTGATGATACTTTGTATAAATAGGATCGAAATATAACCATTTAAATTTACGTCCTATGGCTATGATAGTCCTATATATTTGAGTAAAGTTCACCTCATTCTACACTCAACATTTAGACCATTTACAATCGTTTTTTAAACAACTGTAATGTTCAAAGTCTATTCAACATATTAGCACGCTTGTTTGGAAAGTTTTAAACAAAGCCACTTCAGGAACTTCCTGCGAACTGTGGTGGGTAATAAACCGTTAAAAATTCAAATGTAACTATCCGTCATGTGATATGAACACGGGCTTTGTATTGGTTAACAAAATGAGATAAAAATACAATTATGGCTAGATATGTTGGTATTAACAAATAAAGAATACGTACCATAGCTACATAACGATACTATTTTTGTTAACCGTTCATATCACCATTAACTTTTATTCAGCGATGTGCAATCCTAAGATGATGAGTATTTGTTTTGATTTAACAACTGATTATCATAATTCCCAAGTGGACTGTATTACACACAGCCAATTTTGAATATGTTTAAGATGCATTGACGTCATCAGCATAATAAAATTAATTTCTCGTGATGTGATTGGCTGAGCGCGGTGTGCTATGGTATTGTCTGGATATCTGTCAGTTTGATAATA